AACCCCAACTCTCTCAGCTTTTCCTCATAGAAGGGGTCCTTCAACCTTATGATAATTTCTGTGGCCCTTCTCTGGACCCTGTCCAACAGGTCCATATCTGGTTTGTACTGAGAACTCCATATGGGGTCTTACCAGAGCAAACTAGATGGGCAGAGTCAGCACCCTTGACCTGCTGGCCACACTCCTTTGGATGCAGCCCAAGATACGGTTAGCCTTCTGGGCTGCAAGCACACACTGCCAGCTCATGTCCAATCTTTCATCCACCAGCACCCCCAAGTCCTTCTCCTCTGGGAGACTATCAATCCCTTCACTCCCCAGCTGGTATTGATACTGGGGGTTTGCCCCAGCCAAGGTTCAGGACCCTGCACTTGGCCTCGTTGACCCTCATGAGGTTCACATGGGCCCACCTCTTGAGCCTGTCCAAGTCCTGCTGTATAGCTTTCTGTCCCTTGGGCGTGTCGACTGCACCACTCAGCTTCACGTTGTCTGCAAACTTGCTGATGGTGCACTCAATCCCTTTGTCTATGTCATTGATCAAGATATGAAAGAGTACTGGTCTCACTGTGGACCCCTGAGGGATGCCACTTGTCACTTGTGTCCACCCAGGCATTGGACCGTTAACCATTACCCTCTGGATGCGGCCATCCAGCCAATTCCTCATCCACCGAACAGTCCACCTATCAAATCCATCTCTCTCCAGTTTAGAGAGAAGGGTGTTGTGGGGGACTGTGTCAAAGGCTTTACACAGGTCCAGATAGACAACATCCATAGCCCTTCTTTTGTCCACTGATGTTGTAACTCCATCATAGAAGGCCTCTGGGTTGGTCAGGCAGGACTTGCCCTTGGTGAAGCTGTGCTGACTGTCTCAAATCACCCACCTGTCTTCCATGTGCCTTACCATAGATCCTAGAAGGCTCTGTTCAATGATCTTCCCAGGCACAGAGATGACAGGTTGGTAGTTCCCAGCATCCTCCTTTCTACCCTTTTTTAAGATGGGTGCAATATTGCCGTTTTTCCAGTCACCAGGGACCTCGCCTGGCCCCTATAACTTCTCAGATATCATGGAGAATGGCTTGGCAGCTACATCAGCCAGTTCCCTCAGGACTCTGGGGTGGATCTCATCAGGTCCCATAGACTTATGTATGTTCAGGTTCCTCAAATGGTCATGAACCTGAGCTTCACTTACAGTGGGAGGCACTTCTAGAAATGTACTTTCTAATTTTATCTCCTTGCTAATAAAACACTGTTTTTTTAAACAAAAATTATTTATGGGGAACAGTGAAAATTACAAAATAAAAAAATTAAATCTGTTTGCTGAAATTCATGGAGCACTTCCAAAAGAAAATGAGAAGCCAAAATCAACTTTGTTTTTAAAATATTTTGTTTCAGAAAGACATCTACAAGAATAATTGAAAGAGTTACATTTCAATCTGAAACTTATTCATATATGATAAATTAAGGTTTACATGAGTTGGGCTTTTTTAGCCTCATTTAATTTGTTTTACTAGCCTCAAATTAGAGGTTGTTTTCGTGCTGGATGTGTTCCTGCAGGATCAGGGAAAAATAAGAATGCCATCTGATTAACCACACTGAAAAACAACTGAAACACTTGCAGAGAACTGCTATATGCCATGCAATTGTTGACTAACCATAATTATTTATACTTTTAGAATTACATAGCTGCACAGTATCTAGCACAATACATGAGGACTGAACAAATTTCCAGTAGACTGAAGGAACGTGCTTTAGGAACAGTTTGAGATACATAAGGTGACTGCATCTTTAATGGATTTTGAGCATCACTCCAAAGTCAGCAAGTTTTTCCCTTTTAGTCGTATAAGGATGTGAAGAATTCATGCCTCTGATAGCCAGAAATCTTCTGAACTCATGCGAAACTATAAATCGCCAATGTGCTGTATGTCATGGGGGTATTCAGACATTGTCTCTTCACCCTTCAATTTGCTAAGGAAGATGAGTCAAACTCATCTGATTTTATCTTTTAGGATGGGGTCTTGATTTTCCATATGCTCCTTCTGGCTTTTTCCTCCATTTGTTCCAGTTTGTTCTTTTTCAACATGGGTGAGCATAATTACAGACAGTATTTTGCATGGAATTTCATGAGTGGCTTGCACACTGGCACTGATGTGCCCATATTTTCTACTGAAAATGCTTTGCTGTGTGATCCTGGAAGGATCATATGTGCTTTCTTTGTGGTCTTGCTATACCAAAGACTCGGTTGTCCTGTGATCAGCTGGATGATACCTTTCTCTTTTCTAGTATTTCTTCCTAATGAGTTCTCAGTTTACAACAATTCATTAATCATCAAGTAAGTTACTTTGCATCTTGCACTATGAACTTTCTCTATTAATCATTGTCATCCAGGCCCTATTTGACTCATTACCTAGAATACTTCCTAATATTATCTTATTAGAAGATGTTACTACCAGTTTTACTTCTTGTTTCAAAGTCATTAATAATAATGATAGGTTCAGACTAAGTTTTTCAAGACACTTTATTAGTTTTACTGTTGCACATGACAGCTCTACCCATTAGTTAATTATATACATTCAAAACTGTGCATTTATATTCAGCTTTGCTAACAATTTGAGATCTGGCATTATAGAAAATACTTTACAAATTACCACCTTTGGTAAATGTTAGGATCAGGCTTTTAAACGTAGCACTGAAGGGTTTTTTTTGGTCCATAATGAAAGAAAGTGGGCCCTACCAGTCAGTTTCCAGAAGAAAATACTACAGTGCCAAAGAGGAATGCCAGTTAAAGGTTTCAGCTAGTTTTGGGCCTCCTAGTCAGAGTTCTTGTTAGAACTGCCCTGTGTTCAGTCTTTTGAGCAAGAACTGAAACAAGAACAGTGAAGGGAAGTCCTTATTTAACTACCAAGGACTCGTATCTTTAAAAAACTACCAGCAGAGCCAAAATTGGTGTATTCGTTATACAGTGCAGTATAAAGATAATCTATAAAAAAAACGAGTACTCACAGAAAGTTGAAAGAACTTGGTAACATTAGAGTAGTCAGACCAGTAATAATTAAATGGTAAAATAACTCTTTCCAATTCTATATTAAAATTTTAACTGAAGAGGGTCTCTCATCAGCCACCATGTGATTATATTGGGAAGTATCATAAAGAAAAATATTCCACACCAAGAATTTCATTTTTATTCATCTTCCAATAGCAACTGTTCAGGAAAAAAAAAAAAAGGAGTTTTTGGAGTAGGCATAACTGTAAACAACATTTCTTTTGTCACCTGGTAGGAAAGGAAAACCTGGCAGCCTTGTGACATGAAGTTCTATGCTGCATGCTCAGCTGCAACCAGATGTATCACATTGCATGTATTAATATGGTAAAAAAATTGTATTATAGGATTCTCAGGGGAAAAATGGGGTTTTATTGCTAACATTTAGAATGCACTTTAAGGAATGCAGTTTTAAGCATGCGTAAAATGAATGTGGGTAAACAGATTTTCCAAACAAAATTCATCCTTAGCTTAAATCCCTTAAAGTTAATGGAAGTACATGTGGGACTTATAATTCACTCTTCTTAAACAAAGTTTTTTCTTTCTTATTCAACTCTGTTCCCCAAAACTGCTTTTTCAGTAAGACTTTTGAAAAAAACTTAACCACCAAAAGAACTTAACTGCTTATGTAAAGCAGCAATTCAGAGAAGTCCTTATCAGCAATTAAAAAATTGACCAATGAGCATTGTGCAAATCATTCTGTTAATCACCTTGTTATGTTCTACCCTTATTACTCTCTTATTAGCCTGGATTTTATAATTCTGCATATAGTTAATATTTATTTACATAAATATTAATTAATATTTATTACCATAATATTAATTTTTATTAAATAAACACCATGCCCTTTCCTTAAGTTATATAATAAAAGAGCCACAAACTGACAGTAGATGCAGCCATAACAAAGCATGCTGGAAGTCTCTCCAGGAAACACAGTGTTTGCTTGTGAAGTAGTTCCAGAGGTGCTTACAATATTTTGCTGTTTCATACAAGGACTGGTGGGGTTTTTAACTTTCTAAGGAATAGTTCACTTGATTTTTTGACAGTAATTAAAATCAACTAGTTCTACTGCATGGATCCTTTTGAATGTCACCAGTCTCAACTGGTCAAGAACTGACAACCAGCTTTTTCAGTCATGTTAACACCAGCCTGGTGTCAGATTGGCTTTCTCTAAATCCAGATTTTTCTGGCAAAGTCTGTGCTGCAGCTTCTGCAGTGGGCTCCCATCTAATTATGCTACAAGTGTTGAAATGAAGATGTCTCTCCTCTGGTTCAAGCACTAGTTCAGCTCTCTCTGGAGATCTGCAAATCAAGGAATATGCTGCCAAATTTGGAGAGAATTCAGAGCAAATTGTAAGGTCAACTAGAACTGGAAAACAAGCATTGCATTAACTTGTAGCAGAATATGCTTAGTTTACCAAACAGAAGTTGAAAGTGCTATCCACCTGCAACCATCAAATGCATCTTAATACAGCAACAAAAATATCATAGAGAGGATTTTAAATAGCAAGCAAGGCTGCTGGAAGACCCAATGATTGCAAACTGGCACCATGCAAAAATCTAGATTACAAGCAAGCTACAAAGTCATGACTGAGCATGTCTGGGAGACTTATAGCTTCTCTGTGATTTCAAATCAAGATTCAGTATTGAAAGAAAAAAAAACCATGGTTTATTTCAACCTTTACTATTACATTTAAAACAGTTCTAGAAAATCCTGCTTTGTGCAGTGGAACTGACAAAGTAGCTATACAGTCCCTTCTGTCTTTAAAATCCATGATTTTCTGAATGTCATTTTCTCTAATGTAACACTTTACTGTCACAATGCAGTAACTTCAGTGTGATCTTTTTTTTGTCTATGTTCCGTTATGTTTTGTTTGCTGGCTTTGCATTTTTTTGTTCCTTCTCTTTTTGGGTTTGGTTTTGTTTGTTTGTTTGCTTGTTTCGTTCGTTCTTTCTTTTATTCCAGGAATTGGTCAAGGGGTTCCAGTGGTTGCCCTTATTGTGGAAGGAGGTCCCAATGTTATCTCCATTGTTCTGGAGTACCTGAGAGACACTCCTCCTGTTCCTGTTGTGGTATGCGATGGCAGCGGCCGGGCATCTGACATCCTTGCCTTTGGTCACAAATACTCTGAGGAAGGAGGGTAAGTCACTTCATAGTGTCCTCTGTCTTCCTCTGCAGGTTCAACTTGATGGTAAGACAGGGCCCAGGAAATTATTACCAATATAGTGCAAAAGCAATGACTTCCTCATGTGGCTGTTTCCATTATCAACACAGGTGAAATACTGAAGGTATCCAGATAAAAAAAGGGGGAGCTAAAGCAGTGCTATTGACACCTGGTCAAACACGCTTTCTCAAGCATAGCCACCTAGAGTCAGTTGCCCAGGACCGTGTCCAAATGGCTTTTACATATCTCCCAAGGATGGAGGCTCCATGACGTCTCTGGACAGCCTGTGCTAATGCTCACTTAGCCACGCAGTAAAAAAAAAGGTTTTCTTGACGCTCAGAGGAAACTTCCTGTGTTTCAGCTTGTGCCCATTGCCTCTGGTCCTGTCAATCGCAGCTCTGAAAAAGGTCTGGCTCCATCTTCTTTACACCCTCCCTTTCGGTATTTATATACATTGATGAGATCCCCTCTGAGCCTTCTCTGCTCTGAGCTGAACAGTCCCAGCTCCCTCAGCCTATTCTCATATGTGGGGCAATCCAGTCCTTTCATCATCTCTCTGGCCCATTGCTGGATGCTCTCCAGTATGTCTATGCCTCTCTTGTACTGAGAAACCCAGAACTGGATGCAACACTCCAGGTGTGTACTCACCAGTGCTGAAGAGACAGGGTCACCTGCCCCAGGATACCATTAGTCTTTGTGATTGCAGTGCCATTTTGCTGGCTCATGAACCCCAAGTCCTTTTCTGTCAAACACCTTTCTTGCTGGGAGGCCCTCAGCATGTACTGGTAAATGGGGTTGCTCCTTCTCACGTGCAGGCTGCTCATGATACTCATTGGAAAATACTGGCACTTTATTGGCCCATACCATTGTGGCTGCCTTTGCCTTATTCTTACCTGGCAGCAACAGGCACCCCTGAAGAGTTTGCAGGTGTTCTGCAATGATTGTGAAACTTGTTCCCAGAAGCCCCCCCAAAGTAAAACCAAGTCTGCTGCTCAGAGTAGGAAAAAAGAATAAAGAAGGATTTAATAATTTGAAATGGGAATGAAAACCATCTCAGATTCTTATAACTAAGCACTATTTCATGCTTTTTGCCTAAGTAGCTGCAGTAATCTTCTGATCAGGATTTACCAGGAAAGGACAGATTTATTTTTTTTCTGTTAGAATATATGAACATATGTATTCACACTTACAAACAGGGTTATGCAAATAATGAAAACTAAATCCGTAAACACTGGGCTCTAGACCAACTGCTATTATGTGGTGGGTTTGTTTTTTTTTTTAAATAAATGTAATCATGTGCTTACTCAGTATTCACCCTAAAACTCCTACTGGGAATAAGATAGTTTTCCACAAATATTTAGATCTGCTTTATATTCAGGTTTATACATAATCAGTGCTGAATGTGGGATAGCTCTGAATATGCCAGGTTTCATCTGAAGTGTTGAGAAGCTGCTTCTCTGTTTTCAGTGACCTCACTGTTAACACATTTAACATAACCTTACTCAAACACGTTTTATCCCTCTGCTTGCTATGTAACTATACAGTTTCTGTTCAACTTGTCTGTGTTCTTATGTCTTCATGAAAAGAATATAGCAAGGAGAGAATGAATGCAGCTTATTTCGATATATAAAGGAGATTTATAAGATGGAAAGAGACTTTTTACAAGGGTCTGTAGGAATAGGACAAGGAGGAATGGCTTTAAGATGAAAGAGGGGAGATTTAGGTTAAGGACTTGGAAGAAATTCTTTACTGTGAGGGTCTTGAGACACTAGAACAGGTTGCTAGAGAAGCTGTGGCTGCCCTACCCCTGTAAGTGTTCAAGGTCAAGTTAGATGGGGCTTTGAGCAAGCTGGTCTAGTGGAAGGTGCCCCTGCCCACAGCAACAAGTTGGAATAGATAATCTTTAAAGGTCCCTTCCAACACAAACCATTCTAATATTCTGTGATTCTATTTCATCACCACTAACTCCTGCCTGTAAGAAAAGCAAGTGATAGAATCAGCAGAGGCAGAAAAAGCAAGTAATTTCTTACGTGATACACCAAAGTCTGGCTTTGTGAAAGCTATTATTCTCACTTCTCATGGGTCTTCTTTCTGTGATGGTGCCATTCCAGGTGGTGCCTGCAATCCTGTCAAATAGCGTAATTATTTTTTCCTGTTTACCTTGCACTAACTAGAATGTATTAACTCTGAAATTTGAAAAGCTACCTAGTGGGAATTCTGTGTGTTTGCCCTGCTTCAGAAAAAAGCAGTTTAAAATGCAGTAATATTTTTAAGAATACCACTAGTAAAACAACAATATTATTTACTTTCATAAAAATGTTTTACCCAAATGCATTAGGCTTCAGATACAAATTGGGTACTTTTCTCCTTCTGTAACTTACTTTTTAATAGTGCTTAGCTATGTGAGGAGACTACCGAGTAATTGGCACATTGAGTTCCGCTACTAGCTTGTTCTTTTAGATGCAATGTAAGTAGGTTATACGAAACTGTGTCTATTAGACTCTAAATCAATGTAGCACATCCAAATTGCATGCAGAATTTAATTCTGCCATCTACTGTGCAATTACAGTCCAAAGCCAAAACCCTATTTTTATTCTGGCTTCTGGCTGCAGATCTGGGTCTTCTCCAAGACCCAGCATATCTTCCAACTGCTGTACACTGAATATCTGGTATAAATCAGTCAAAAAACACATCGTTCATGGCAGCAACAGACTCATCAATTGCAAGTTGGTATTATTATGATGGCTTTTCAGTGTCTTAAATTTTCACTCATTGCTGATGAATATGCATTCATTTTCTACATACAAGAACGTGTATATGTGTACTAAGCACTGCTGTGAATTTTCAAGTTTATTTGAAAGTTTGTTTCAGGGGGAGGGACAGAAGGGGAACTGTATCTGGAGGTTAAGGAGGACAAAATATAGCTCTCTGCTTAAGTGTGGTGCCAACATGTCCTCTCAGAGGGATCCTGAAGTGTTGAACAGCTGTGTATTTGCCAAACAGGTCCTTTTGTATTGGGTTTCACAGAATTTTGACATGCCTGCTTTCCCTCCTCATTATTTATCCTTCCTAATAGATTTCACATAGCTGAAAAATGAACAATATTTTATATTATTCAAGGTGCAGTACCCCTTTGCAATGCTAGTATATGTGTGTCCTTGAAAAGAAACAAGAAGCCTGCAACAAGGCCTGATTATAGGGTTTCCTCATGAAAAGGCAGACATTTCACTCACCTAGGGCAGTCTTTGGATGCATATTGTAAATGTAAGCCTGCGTGCACTGCCTTGCATGTGCTGCCTGCAACTATGTGATGTATTGAGAACAGGTCAGAAGGAATTGTGAAGCGTACCTTGAACTAAAGATGTCTTTGGAGGCAGATCAGTTTTGAGGCCTCAGTATCTCATGTCTCTCATAGAAGTTCCAGGGGGAAAGCAAGGCATATATGCCATTTCCCAATGAGCTGAGGTTTCAGCTACTATCAGTAGCAGATCTGCAGAATTAACATAGGTGTTTTTTTTTAAGTTTGACGTAACTTTAATATCAGGGGCTACATATTGCCTTGGTATCAGTAGCAGATCTGCAGAATTAACATAGGTGGTTTTTTTTAAGTTTGACATAACTTTAATATCAGGGGCTACATATTGCCTTGGTATCAGTAGCAGATCTGCAGAATTAACATAGGTATTTTTTTTTAAGTTTGACATAACTTTAATATCAGGGGCTACATATTGCCTTGGTCTGAAAAGTCTTCAGAATGTACGAGGTGGCTACATTTCACTACAAGCAAATAAAATTCCACTAAGAATTTTAAGCTGAGTAAGTTTCCAGTATTTTTTACAACTTAATGACAAACTACCTACGTACACGGGATAACCTAAGTGAGAACATGTCTTAAGTGCAACCTTCCCCATGTAGTGAATTGAAAGTATTATTTGGGTGCTCATCACTACTGGCCCTAATTTAAAGGTCAGGTTTTCCAGACTTTGAAGCACTTAATTTCTCATTTACTTAAAAGTTGAAAATATGTTGAACAATGTTGAGAGGCAGGATCTTTAGATGAATCGTAAACACTCAAATTTAGTCCCTACCAAGCTCTAAGCAAGTATTGTAGTTGTTAATAATTCCTCCACATAAAGCCAAAGTATTTGTGACTGTATAATAGAGGATGCCTTCTCATTTCATTGTCTTTCATAAAAGCACAAGCTGAAAATAAAGCAACTGTAAAGTGCAGCTATTTATAGGATTGCTTAGCAGGTTTTAATCCTCAGAGATTTTTTCAATTAAACACTGAATTTAAAATGAGAAAAATCAAACACTAGATTAAAACTATGTCACTTCCTAGACAAATATTTCCTTACAGAATGACAAATGACTTGCAGAGTTTGAATGCAGTCTCCAAGCTCAGTTTATAGCATATTAACTGCTCCATCAGTTCTACTCCTGTGAGCATGAGACCCTTAAGGGGTACAATTCAATGCCATAAAAATGTACTTCTTGTGTAATATTCACAAGGGAACATAAAATATTCTCTGTGCTTTAAATGAACATCCTCATGTAAGAATCATTAAAGATTACCTTTGGATTGATCTGTCTCTGCATCCACTGTGGCATAGCTTTTAGGCTTCATAACTGAAGTATATTACTTAAATCTCTTTTTTCTTTTTTTTTCTAATAGGGAAAATATAGGGATTTTTCATTTCAAGCAGAAAGGATTATAATGTAGGTATGATGTGGGTCTTCTGTATCCCCTATGGTTCATACCATTTCACACTGCAGATTTTGATATCATTACTTTTCTCTTGTAACAAAGTACTTTGCAAATCAAAATCTGGATAGAAGAACATAATTTCTTTTTTGAAATACAATCATCTCTCTTTTGGCGAAGGGAACAACCATTTACTAAACAGTCAGGGAATAGTGTAAAAGAACAGCCACCAGTGAAAAGCTTCAAATTGAGCTGATTCCTCATAAAAGTG